AAAAATCAGTATTTTTTAAAGCAGTGACAAAGTAGAGGGACTTTAGTAGAGAGACTTGAACAACTAACAATTACATCTCTGAAGTAGAAGAAATAAGATGCTCGTGAATTTCAGCAATAATATTAAGAATAAGTTTATGTATTTTTAAGCCTTCTTGGAAAAAGTGGCAGTCACTTTTACAGAATTCAGGTGTTCTATTTAAAAAAAATAAACACTTCTACATCAGAAGATAAAATACTATCATGCCAAGTGCTGGTGGGTCTCAGACACAAGGCACCAGAGTTTCAACCTCAGACATTGTCACTAAGTGACTTACACTTCTGGTTTCCAGCTTTTTCTTAGAATTAAAAAAAAAAAGCAGAGAAATGTGGAAGTTTAAGACTTTCCAGCTGTTGAACAGAGAGTAGAAAAAGCTTTTACACTTCATTGGGACACCCAGCTTGAACACGAAGGAGCCGCCTTAGTGGGAGCATAGCTTAGGAGACCAAAGGCCAACTTGGAAGCGCAGCACGCGCGGCGCACGTTATCTCCAAAGCCACGGGCTGGGACCTGCGCTCACCACGGCCACCGAAGCCACGTGAGGCTCCGATCACTCTGAAGCAGCAGGTTTGGGAACACAGCAGCCCCCACCCTGCAGAGAGCCGGTGTGGGGCTGGGCCAAGCACAGCGGGGCAGCGCTGGGACAGCACTGGGACAGTGCTGGGGACACACTGGGACAGCACTGGGACAGTGCTGGGACAGCACTGGGACAGCACCAGGTCCGCACTGGGGACAGCACTGGGACAGCACTGGGACAGTGCTGGGGACAGCACTGGGACAGCACCAGGGCACTGCTGGGACAGCACTGGGACAGCACCAGGTCCGCACTGGGGACAGCACTGGGACAGCACTGGGACAGTGCTGGGGACAGCACTGGGACAGCACCAGGGCACTGCTGGGACAGCACTGGGACAGCACCAGGTCCGCACTGGGGACAGCACTGGGACAGCACTGGGATAGCACTGGGATAGCACCAGGATAGGACTGGAATAGGACTGGGATAGCACCAGGGCAGCATCAAAGGCAGCACTGGGACAGCACCACAGGCAGCACGGGGACACCCAGCCCCCTGCCCCTCCTGCCGTGTGACACTTTGCCCAGCACAGGGCTGGCAGTGGCCACGGTGACGGTGGCCTCGGCGCATCTGCAGCTCCCCCAGAATTTGCATTTGACATCCATCTCCCCATTGTTCAGACATCTTTATCTCAGCTTTCAGGAAACGCGGATGACTCATCTATCGGAACATCTGACGAAGCTAACGTAATTTCAAAAACGAGTTCTACTTCGGCTTATTTTTCCAAGAAAAAGAAAGAAGAAAAAATGTTTCAAAATTATGGTAAAAATCAAATTTCTGTTGCAAACCAGTTTCCTGATTTAGGAACTCGAGCTTATTTTTGCTGCAGACAGTCTAACAGGCTTTTAGGCATCCAAATTTAGGAAAAAAATCCTACGGCATTTAAACAAGGCAGAGCCAGAGCTGGAGCTGAGTCAGCCGCTCCAGCGCATAATTTGAATACACTACATAATCATTCTTGGTTTAAAATTATCCTGCTAATATCTGAGGGCCAGATTATCCCACACACGTTCATCTTGATTCACGCGCTCCCCGAGGCCAGCCCCGCAGGTTCCATTAGCGCTAATTAGGCAGCAGGACGATAACATCTATAACATCTCGCTGGGGCTGTCCCAGCCCTGACCTCCTGCAGCACCTCAGAGGTCAGAGCCACCGGCCTGGCTGCCTCTTGCTCCCCACGCTCCCAATTACCACGGGCCAGCTCGTTCTGCTCAGGTGAGGAAAGGAGGAGCTGCCAGGTGCACCCACGGGACGTGTTTGCAACCAGAGACGGTGCCCAGAGCCCAGCGCCACTGCTCCCACACAGCACAGCCGGGCACCTCGGGGGGCAACACGGCTCTCCTTGCTCTGGCCCTGCACAGAGCTTGTGCCTTCATTTCACAGCAGGGGGAAATAGTAATTTTAAAAAAGGCGCTTTAGCCAAGCTGCAAGTTTCACTTCTGGCATCTATTTTTGCCTCCTCCCGGCAGGGCAGGGCAGGGCAGGGCAGGGCAGCGGAGCCCGGCTGCGGCGGCTGCGCCCGCAGAGGACACCTGGGCCGGGGCCAGAGCCGAAGGGCACCGCACGCACAGGCTCCCTCCGAGATCTGCTCCTGCTCCAGGAATGGCCCAGCACACAGGCCAGCCCCAGCCCCGAGGAGTCCTGCCCAGGGCTGCGGCTCTGCGGCACCCACACCTGCCTGACGTCAGCTCGCACACCGAGCCTCGCAGCGACACATCACAGCATCGCGCGGCGCGCCGGGCTGCAAGGCACCGCAAAGGTCGCCTCGTTTCAACTCTGCCAACATGCAGGAGTTTGTAGGGAAAAATTCACTGACTAAGTATCTGTCTCACGTTCAAGAGATAATGCAAGAATAGCAGTATAATTAATACTATATACATTAATAAGAAATCAAATATTTTAACATTAAGGTCAATTTTTCAGCGTGCTGCTATTTTAGTAAAGAACAAGGACATTACATCCATATTGAATTACTGAAAAATTAAAAATTACTTCTGAATGTCCTAACCAAAAATCTTTTTTAATCTGCACTAAAGTATTGACTGACCTTATAAGGTCCAGACAGAGCTGGTGCAGCATCTCCCTAAATTGCTTTTGCAGAACATCTAAAGTTTGGGATATTGCAGACAAGGTAATGACTAGAGCCTGTTGAAATTGGCGCACACCAAAACTGACACAGAGCTGAAACAAAACCAAAACTGAGCAATGGCTTCAGCAAATGGGATTGGACTGGGAATTCCCCAGAGGGGGATATTCCAGGTGCCGTTTCCCCAGGGTATTCCCGTGCCTGGTCCAGCTCCCTAACTAACGCCCTGCCCAGGGGCTGGGACACCGCGGGATCCTGCCCCGCATCCCCGGGAGCCTCTCCAGCACACAGAGCTCAGCCCCTGGCAAACCTTTCAGCATGAGCACGAGTAAACAGCTCTGGTCAGCAGTGTATTTTTAAACAGCAGATTCTTTCCCAGCTCCCAGCTCGGCCCCTGCGCTGACTCCACAGGGCAGCAGCACGCTCCTTTCCGAGGATCCGCAGCAGCGCTGTAACGTTACCCACGGTTATCACCCACGGACCTTGCAGCGCTTGGCAAAGGTCAGCCTCAGCTCCTGCATTAAAAAGGGAAGCGAAGAGCCCTGCTGACGGCAGCAGAAGACCAGTCACGCTGCCGGGGCTGGGGAAAGCAGGCCGGGCCCTGCTCCATCCCCTCTCACACAGACACCAGCTCACGCCGCCGCCCGGCTCCGGCACCGGCAGCACCCCCGTCCCGCACTGAGATTTTAAGGCACTTGCAGCGAGCACTGACATCATGTCCGGGTCACTCTAGCGGCCGCTTTCCAGCCTTTCGGCAGATCCTCGCCACGAGCAGCAAGGCCAGCGGGGTCAGGCCGCGCTGGCCAGACACACGTTGCTGGGAAACCGAGCCGGGGACACTGCGGGTGCTGCTGCACCAGCAAACCCACGGTGGCACTCACAGCAGCGGCTGAGCGGCTCCGGGGCCGGGCCCGTGCTCCGGCAGCACCACCACCCCGCGGTGACACCGCGCAGCCACCCACGGCCACGCCGACACGCGCTGGCACACGGGGCTGGCACTCCCCGCTGGCACCACGGGCAGCCCTGGCTCTGCTCCTACCTCCGGCACCTGCTTAATGCATAAAAACGTCTTACTTCCACATTTTAAAATTGATACCCTGCACTCACTGTAATTGCTGTATTTAAAAATACATTGAACGACAGAGAAACAAACCCTTTCAGTATCTGCAAGTTAAGCCATGGCTGGGGGTGGTGGAGCATTTCAGGCCTGAGAGCACTGTAGAGCTTCACCCCATCCCCTGACCAGAGACAGGACACACAGTGAAGCTCGGGATGCTGCGGATCTACAGAGACCTGCTGTCAGCCACTTCCTGCCCCGCTCACGCTGCGCTGGGCCCGGCTGAGCCACGAGCTGCACGAGCTGCCCCAGCCCCAGCTCCCTCCCAGCACGGCCCTGCCAGCAGCCAGCTCCCCTTCTTGGGGTCAGGGCCCAGGGAGAGAAAATCACACTGGAGAAAAAACTGACAGACAAATTTCTGCTTCCCGAGTTTTGATGCTTTCAAGACTCCGCTGGATTAATTCTGTGCTGTTTGTGGTATGAGTATTTTACATGTGAAGTTACTCAAATCGTGAAAACCCAAGGGAAGGAGCTGGGACCTGTACATTTAACACCTACCGCTGACACAGCAGCTACAGTGAAACAACAGCCCTGTATTTATGGTGCCTAGATGGGATGTACCTCCTGAAAAGCCTCTCTGCTCCTGCCACGCTTGCACGTCCAGAGGCACCTTGCTTCTGCTAAGTGCTGTCCTTCCCCTAAGCGAGAGCACTTGGGAGAAAGATGGGATAACCACACCAGTGCCAACACAGAAAGGCAAGCAGGGTGCTCACAGGCACCCGAATAACCCAGGGAGGAAAACACTCTTCTAAGGTTCACCATCAGCTGTCCAGGGACACCAACAACCCGCTGGTAGTTACGAGATGGAAACAAATCCTCATATTGCTTACGTGGTTTGTGCTATTAAAAACAAAGAATCCTCACAGTGACTTTGCTGTTTCTACGTGAAGTGCCCTTTATTCCAGCTACAGGCAGGGAATAATTTGGAGGCGAAGAATGAGCCCCTGTAGCCATACTGAGGATTTGAGCCCCGCCAGACGTATTTTCCCTTCGTTCCCTATATCCTTCCCCTTCCCCTGAGGAAAGCAGCAACACAAATCGACAAGCGTCAATAAAATAAAAGCAGCAAAATACCCCACTGCTGGCAGCCAGCACTTGCTCCTGCTCGGCTGCAGGATTTCTCTGGCTACAACTGCTTCTTTCATTAACCATTTATCCTTGAAAATAATGTAATATTTACTCACTTTCAATGAGTCAAAGCAGGCGATTACGCGTCCGTTTTCAACTTGGCAGCTTTTCGATGGGTGTGCAAATTTACATTCCGTGTCTGGTCGTGAGCAAGTCCCCCTTTGGAACTCCCTACACACTTCCAGCGTTAGCCATTTTGTGTCCCGGATCGGTGTGACGCTAACAGCCATCTTTAGATTTTACAGGTAGTTAAAATTTCCAATAAAAACGGGCAAACGGGTAGCTGAACTGATAAACTGAAAATTACGAAAGTGCCACCTCCAGAACACTTTTTTTCCCCGCTCCCTATTTTAAAACGAGTGCGTGTAAAACCGGGCGGCTGCGATCCCGAGAAGAGCTGTGTCACAGAGTCGGGAGCCGGCACCGTTAGCGGGGCTGGGAGGCCGGGCGGGCGGCGGGAGGGAGCGCGGCCGGACTAGCCCCGCGCAGCGCTCAGCATCCCGTCCTGAGCGCGGCCGCCGCAAGCATGGGCGCGTGGGGCTCCGGCAGCGGCTCCCGAGCTGCTCCCGGGGACGGCGGCGGGCAGGTGCCTCCGGGCAGCGGGCTCGCAGCGGGCTCTGCGGTGCGACCGGGATCGATTAGTTTGGCATAGACAGATGCAGCAGTTTAGAGCAACGACCGACACCGGGTTTAGGCTGGGCTTTTTCTCCTCCTCTCCTCGGCTTTCGGGCAGCAGAGCTCTGACCTTCGCGGCACACTTTAGTGCACAGTGCAGCGGCGGCGGGGGAGCGGCGCCGGACCCTCCTCCCGGCGGGCACGGGGCTGGCAGCGGCGGAGCGCTGTCGTCGCAGTCTAGCTGGCAGCAAGCAAGGCAAAAGCAGCGGCTGCTCTAGAAGCGGTCCCAAGCAGCAGCGACGTCAGGAAAGGCACTTCTTAGTACCAACCTGTGGAGAGAAGAGACACGTTACGAGCGGGCGGCGCGGGCGCCCCGCGAGCCGCCGCCCCGCGCAGGGCACTCACGGCTGCGGGCGGCGGGGCCGCGTCCCCCCGCGGGGCCGGGCGGCAGCACCGCCGCGGGCCAATCGCGGCGAGCGTTGCAGCGACACTCCGGGCAGGGAGCCAATGGCGGGGGCCGTCTTATGAAAGGTCGCGCCTGTCAGACGCCGGCCGCGCCGCGCTGCCCCGAGCGCGCCCGCCGGGGGCCGCGCGTGCGGCCCGGCGGTACCGGCGAGCGGGGCCGGCCGGGAACGGCGCCGGGAACGGCGCCGGGAACGGCACCGGCAGCGCCCGCCGGCCCTCCGAGCGGCTCGGGCCCGGCGCAGCCTGACCGCCCGCCGCGGCTCCCCCCCCGGCGCGCGCAACGCGGAGGCCGAACGGGACCGGCACCGCCCCGTCGGGCCGCCCGGCGTGAGCGCACACCGAGACACGCTGACCCCGGAGCGGCTCGGCCCCGGCGGCGCCCGCCCGCCCGCTCGGACACGGCCGCGGCCCCGGGGACAGCGGCCCTGGCCGCCGGGAGCAGCGCTGCGCCCGCAGCGCCCCGCGGGAGCGCCGCCGGCCGCCGCAAAGCCGCCCGGCAGCGGAGCGAACACCGCCCGGCAGCGGAGCGAACACCGCCCGGCAGCGGGGCAAACGCCGCCCGGCAGCGGGGCAAACGCCGCCCGGCAGCGGGGCGAACACTGCTAATACCGCCCGGCAGCGGGGCTAACGCCGCCCGGCAGCGGGGCCAACGCCGCCAAGGATGCCCTGGGGGCTGCAGGGATTTCCCTTCATGCCGCCGCTCACATGCCCAGCTCTGCTACAGAAGCTGGTGCCACCTGCAAATGCAAATCCACTATAATGAACTACATTATAGTTCTGTCCCTGTCTGTTATAGTTATAGGTATATATACTACATTATAGTTCTGATCCTGTCCCACCTGAGGATCGCAGTGCCCAGAGGACGCTGCACAGGGGGGAGGGACCCTGGTGGCACTGCGGGGACGCACTGGCAGCGCCAGCCACGGGGATTCTGCCAGCACTGCAGCCCCAGCAGCATCCTCTGCCTCTGCTGAGGGCAGGACTAGCCCCATACCTGTCTTTCTAAAGACGCCGCTTCATCATCTTCCCATTTCCCACCGCCCTCCAATGCAGGTCACTGACACAGACCCCAGAATCACACCCTGGGAAGCAACGCTGTCAGCGTGCATGCAAACCAACAGATGAGAAAAAGCTACAGTCTTTTTCTAGGGACACAGTGATCAGAACAACCAACTCCAGGGGAAGGAAAACACACCTAACAGCTAATGAGATTACAACAGGCACCGTGTGTTCTTTGCCAGGACACTTGAAATCATGCCACGTTTTTAATCCCTGCTAGCAAGAGACAAACAACGACCTAATTACTTGCAAGCACAGGTTAACAGCTAAGTGTCTTTGTGGTAAACACAGATACTCATTTGCTTCAACTGCCTAAAAGTCTGAAGTTCGGGGTCATCCTGCACCACCGGTCACTACTCCTCAGTGCTCGGGATACTGAATTCTTAGGTCTCGAAAACTTGTTTTGTTACAAATGTCCAGGCAAAGCAGTTTGGTTCTTGCACTTCCCAGCCGTGACAGATTAGCACCAAGAGATCTGAAAGCAGAGGATGTGCTGCTGGGGCCGTGTGCCAGCAGGTCCCCCAGGCCTCCCTGCAGCCTCGTGCAGCAATACCAGCACATCAGAGCGCTCCTGGAAGCCTAAACACATCCCCCAGCTCTCAGCCAAGGTGCACTGCAACTCGTCCTCCACAGCCAAGAGCTGGATCTGTGTCCTCCCACCGTCACTCCTGCACTGCACAAAATGACTTGTGTTATTGTGCTAGGAACATCTGTTCCCTGTGAGACCCTCAGGACAGGGTGCTGCCAATGCCAGCAAGAAGGGCTCTACCACAAAGCTGTGGAACAGCTCTAAGCAGGGTTTTCTCCTGTTCATCAGCTTGGTAACCAATCCATACCAAGCATTGATTTTTCCAAACACCAAGAAGAGTTAGAACAGCAAATTGATGCATTTTATATGCTAAAGCCAATGCAAGTTAAAGGCCACAGTTCCCAAACAAGATATTTCACTCTCATTACAGAAGCAGTCACCCCTAACAAGAAAGGAAAGAGAGCATGAAGGCAGCACCCAAAATAAAAACAGATGAAAGCTGGCTTTTGTGCTCTCATATACTGACAGGAGAAATATCCCTGGGAAGGCCATGTTTTACTCCCAGGTTTGTAAGAAGTTTTCTGTTAGGGTTTGGACAATCACCACTCAGAGAGAAATCCTGCTCGTGCTGAGGTCAGTGACACACTTGTGACTGCACTAACTAATTCCACCCTTCCTTCTTCAGGCTGCCACCCACAAAAAGAAAAGCATTGCTCCAAGGAGCTGATGCCTCGAAGGTAAATCTTCAGAACACAAAAAAATACTAGATGTATATATTGTACGAACAGTTGCTTGAAGAAAAAGTGTTTTGTCATAGTTTGTTGTCTACCTGAAAACAGCCAGAAATGTCAGCTTTAAAAATAGCCTTTGAGCAGAAATAAAGCCTGACGTCAGAGCAGAAGTTCATCTTCAATATCCACTAAATAAAGGGAGATGTTAGCATAGAATTATCCTTTTTTATCTGCATAAACTGTTTTCCCATCACTTGAAAATTCTCTTGTGATACTAGTTCAGTCACCGAGGAGTCCCCAGCAAGCTTCACACGCTAGAAGATACACTGTCTGCAAAACCCAGCTGATACACGTGATGTCTCCTTGGGGCTGTCCCTGATAAGGTGGGAACGACTGTAACAAATCCAGAGGGAGAACCATAGGGACAGGACAGGAAAAGGACTGAACTTCTTATTTTTCATTCAATTCAAACTGATTTAGGGGCTGACAGTTTCTAGACCTCACCTAGCAGAGCAGTCAGTACTAAAGATTCTTGTGATCCACAGGTGGGTTTTAAATTTCACCTTTTGAAATCTGGAAGCGTTTGCCACTTGTCTTGGGAATACTGCAGCAGTGGTTTGGCCAAGGCAGAACCTTGCCTTGACTGAATATCAAGCTGCAAGGATTGATAGCAAATTAAAAAGTAATTCTCAGAAGAGACAGAAGAGAGAATAACACCGAGGAGTCATTCCTTAGGAGGGTAACAGAGATGACTTAGTTGTCTCCTGAGCTGGGTCAATGAAAATGATTAAGAAACAGCCTCACAAATCAATGGAAAGGTTACCTGGAAATGTCCAAGAAAGTGAATCTGACACAGAAGAGACTCCTGTTACTTCCCCTGATTGCTATTAAGACATGTGCAGACAGATTAGCAATGCATTTTCCCCTCTCATTACAGTCTTTGACACAAAAATAAGGTAACTCCCTGCATCGAGAATCGCTCCCAAAGAGGCACTGTTTTCACTGTTCCTGTAACTGGGGTGGCTGGACATCCCTGGTTATCTCAATTCACACACGTCTCTCAAAGAAAGATGTAGAAAGCTGGGCAGGCAAGAAGCCCAGCTCTGAAGAAGAAGATGGCAGGGAAGAATGCTATTTTTATGCTTAGAGAAAGTGGAAGCTGAAAACACCAGTCTCAATGACATGAGAACTGTCAGCAAGAACAGATAATTACACAACGTGAATTCATCCTCATGACAATGACTCTAATGAGATAGGAAATGGAATAAAATCAATATTCTATTTACACTGACAGGGCAGTCTCAAAGCTTGAAATTGCCAAATGGCTGTCTTTTAAATCAAGGAACACAAAATTACTGACTCCTTACAGTATTTTCAAAACACCTCTGCCAAACTCAAAGTTTACCAATAACATATCTCAATATAAAATTTGGAAGAGATACAGCAATTACTCCACGGCACAACTGAGGGATATAATTATAGCACTGTCACAAAATTAAGCTGAAACAATGAGCTAATTAACATCTTGTCACATAACAGTATAGGACTGGATAAAGGAAAATGTTCCTTAGTAAAGTGCAGCTGAAGATTGTCTCACACTCCGGGCTGCACCCGCTGCTCCCATGGGCCAGCAGGGAAATGGAAGCGGATTCCTTTTACAGTTTTGTACTTTGTGCATTTCGGGCCAGAATGGGAGGGCAGAGGCAGCAGCAGAGAGCAGCCGGCCCCGGAGCAGGGCTGCCAGGGCTCTGCAGCCTGGGCTGCGTTTCACAGCAGCCTGGCACTGGGAGCTGGTAAAACTGCAAGCGCGTGTTGGCTTTGAGCTACCCAGTGCCACACCAGATTAGTAAAAAAACTGCCAACACTGCTTCTGTGATGCAGATATTCTGCATGACATACATAGCTTTAGTACTACTACTACTGCTAGTAGTAGTGTTTTAAAGGTTTTTTCTGTACTGTTTTAGCTCTGACAGACTTTCCTGGTGCAACCTCCCACTGACTTCAGTGGCTCCTCCAGCACATTCCCATCAGACATGGTTTTATCTTGAGTCTATTTCACAGTTTCTGAAACTGTTTTAGCAGAACCACCTAACTGTGACATTCCATCTGAATTTAACACACCCAGGAGTACTCGGTTCATGAAAACTTGATAAATAATGAACAAAGAGGCACCGTGTTGTACACTACATGCCCCGGCCACGTGCAGAAATCAGGTATTGCCCCGAGATTTCCATCCCTAATCAAACCGGGAGCCAATTCCCACCAGCAGCGCACGGGCACTGACATACAAATCCCACAGCCCAATCCTCTCTTACTTTAGATTACAGTAATGCTATTTTCAAGTCAGAAAGCTACACTGCAAATTCCATAAACCCTCTTACCTTTAAGGAGCAGACAGTTACGGATTAACTGCTCTTGCTGTAATTTAAAAAATATTAAAGTCAAGAAACATGCCTGCTGATTTTTTTTTTTTAATAACCTGGAGTATATATTAATCCCTGTTACAAAATGTGAGACTTCAGGGACACACGGGATTCACAGTTTG